CTGGGAACGACGACTCCCAGACCTCCACATGTGCCTACTCAACATCCGCAGGAAAACTGGCGCACCACTCGTACTCTCTTGGGAAGAAGCACAGGACAACGTTGAACTTCTGTGCATGTCTTTCTGTGCATTCTTGATGTGTGTCGGACCGCCTTTGATGTATGCGTGAGTCTGTATTGAATACATGCGTGTATATGTGCGAAGGGGAATCCATGATGTGGTGTCGCAGTGACGATGGATCCTGCGGATCAAATTTCGAAGGTGGCGCGTCTCCGAGACATCTCGCGCTGACCGCCGTGCCTGCATGTCACCGAGCGCTAACAGCCACGACGACCTGCTGACACGAACGCGGTGCGAATAGAGAAGAATATTACTCACATCAGACGCAAAAACGGAGATCTCGTAGCAATGCTGGGCTACGTGCGGCATTTGCGCACACAAGCCACCTCGTGCCAAAAAACAGCAGGCGCGTGCGTTACGGGTAGGCGGAGCGACGCTCACAGCCACACTCCAATACTAGAAGCCAGAGTGGCAACGACAACAACACTGGTCGGGAAAGATCGCTGCTTTCGACGACGGCCGCCCTGAGTCCATTACGACAACGACTACTACGACTACTACGACGACTCCTACTGTTACTACTCCCACTACTACTTCTACTGCTACTACTCCTACTACTACCACTACTTCTACTACTACTACGACTACTACGACTACTACTACTACTACTACTACTACTACTACTACTACTACTACTACTACTACTACTACTACTACTACTACTACTACTACTACTACTACTACTACTACTACTACTACTACTACTACTACTACTACTACTACTACTACTACTACTACTACTACTACTACTACTACTACTACTACTACTACTACTACTACTACTACTACTACTACTACTACTACTACTACTACTACTACTACTACTACTACTACTACTACTACTACTACTACTACTACTACTACTACTACTACTACTACTACTACTACTACTACTACTACTACTACTACTACTACTACGACTACTACTACTACTACTACTACTACTACTACTACTACTACTACTACTACGACTACTACTACTACTACTACTACTACTACTACTACTACTACTACTACTACTACTACTACTACTACTACTACTACTACTACTACTACTACTACTACTACTACTACTACGACTACGACTAACTACTACTACTACTACTACTACTACGACTCCTACGACGAAGGGCCCGAACGACTCGCAAGCGGACGAGGTGCCCAAACGCCGCGCACCACGAGAAGCCCGACCGACTCACACCAGGACGAGAGGCCCGAACGACTCACACCACGAGGAGCCCGAACGACTCACACCAGGACGAGGGGCCCCGACGACTCACACCAGGACGAGACGCCCGAACGACTCACACCACGAGGAGCCCGAACGACTCACAACACGACGAGCCCGAACGACTCACACCAGGAGGAAGGGCCCGAACGACTCACACAACGAGGATACCGAACGACTCACACCAGGAATAGGGTCCCGAAAGACTCACACAAGGACGACGGGGCAGAAGGACTCACACAACGAGGGCCCGCACCGCCGCCTTCGTCGTCGCCGTCGTCGTCGTCGACGTCGTCGTCGGAGGCGGGAAGAAGGAGGAACAGGGGGGGTATGCGGCGCCAAGCGGACACACGCCAGAAAAACACAACTGTCGGCACGCTTCGCAAGAGTTGCTGTTGTGAGATGGGCTGGTGGGGATGCGCGAAGCGTAAAGAATTCGCAGAGCGCGTCTCCCAAGAACTCAGTATCCGAACGCCTCCACCGTCTTCTCGAAACACTTTACGTAATCACCCACCTTCATCATGGGATGATATGCTGCGGTCTTCCTCTCCGTGCAGTCAGGCCTCCATTTCTTGTTCTTTTTCTGGTCCTCTGGGCGATCCGCCTCGCAGGCCGCGTCCAGAGTAGTGTCGAACGCCCCGCCGCGGCGCACACCCATGGCGTCCAAGCAGCTCTGAGCGAACAGGTCCTCCCCCATCGGCCCGTACTTGCCGCCCTCCACTCCCGTCTTCCAATCCAGGACCTGCTTGCACCATTCGATGTTCGGGAACAGCGTCTGGGCGGCAGTCAGCGACATGATCTCCAAGTTCCCGAACCAACCCCACTTACAGTATTTGCAGTTCTCGAGGTAGATGCCAGGCACACCGCTCCCAGGCTCGCCCTGGGAGGCAAGGAAGGGCCTCAAGCGGCTCGGCAAAAACACCGCATCGCAATCTACCTTGACCACCCAGCTGGCGCGCTGGTAGTCTCCCGCCGCCCTGATCGCCTTCCAGACCTGTGTGTGCAAGCCTGTGTTAATCCAGGTGCCGGTCTCCTTGCGCTTGAGAATGTGGAAGTCCCCATCGGCGTCGTCCACCGCCACGAAGGGCACGCCAGGGGCCAGGTCGCCTGGCTTGTCGCTGAAAATGCCCCACTGCTCGCACGCGAAGATGCCTATCTTCCTGTCGTACGCCGCCTTCAGCAAGTTCAGCTCGTCCGGGCGCTCGGTTTTGCCATCGCTACCAGTGTCTGCCATGTAAACGGAGAAGCAATACATCGATGTTCCAGGTGCTACGGCGTTGTCCAAGTACATCGGCTCGCCGACCTTGGGCACAGGCACCGCGCAGGCCGTCGTCTCGCTGGGCGTGCAGTTCTTCATGCACTGGGCCGAGCCAGGCGTGGTCGTCACGAAGCAGGTGAAGCCAGCCACGTCGCAGCACGCTGTATCGAAGCAGTCCCCGGACACGTCGCTGCACTTCTCCCGCGCCGGCTTTGCCAGCACCTGCAGCAACTCGCGCCTGGCCGCGAGGCCGCCCCCTGGCGAGCTGGCGCCGCCACCTGCCGCGAAGCCGCCCGCGGCGCAGGCGGCACAGGCCAGCGCCGCGCAGCCGAGGACCCTGCTGGTGCTCCAGCCAGCGGCTGGCGCGGCCGCGTCGCTGTCGCTGCTGAGCTCCATGTCTTCGCTGCGGCGGTGCGGCGCCATGCGGGCGAGATGAGGTGTGAGCTCTGGTCTGCAGCGGAAGCAAGCAGGCGTGGAGCGCCAGAGAGTGGTTGCGGCGAAAAAGCTTGAGCCCAAATGGCTACGGACGATGATAATATGACGACGATGATGATGATGATGATGATGCTGATGATGATGATGATGATGATGATGATGATGATGATGATGATGATGATGATGATGATGATGATGACCGGCATGACAACTCCTGGGTTCAGAGCCTCCAGCTTGGCAGTCGGCATCGATAGGTCACCGCAGGAGAAGTCATCTCCCCCCTGGCGACATCCCAGAGGTCATCATGTGTATGTTAATTGCGCGCCGTGGGTCCACCACAAGCGCACCTCGGAGGATACGGGCCTCGCATCGACCGAGCACTCAGCCACGAGGACGTTGACTCGTGGCAGCTAAAAAACGTGCTGATGGCTGAACTGTGCACGAATATCGGGCAACAGCTCTTGCGCTGCCACTTCTTCGAAGTAATTCGCAGAGCGCGTCTCCCAAGAACTCAGTACCCGAATGCCTCCACCGTCTTCTCGAAGCACTTCACGTAATCACCCACCTTCATCATGGGATGATATGCTGCGGTCTTCCTCTCCGTGCAGTCAGGCCTCCATTTCTTGTTCTTTTTCTGGTCCTCTGGGCGATCCGCCTCGCAGGCCGCATCCAGAGTAGTGTCGAACGCCCCGCCGCGGCGCACACCCATGGCGTCCAAGCAGCTCTGAGCGAAAAGGTCCTCCCCCATCGGCCCGTACTTGCCGCCCTCCACTCCCGTCTTCCAATCCAGGACCTGCTTGCACCATTCGATGTTCGGGAACAGCGTCTGGGCGGCAGTCAGCGACATGATCTCCAAGTTCCCGAACCAACCCCACTTACAGTATTTGCAGTTCTCGAGGTAGATGCCAGGCACACCGCTCCCAGGCTCGCCCTGGGAGGCAAGGAAGGGCCTCAAGCGGCTCGGCAAGAACACCGCATCGCAATCGACCTTGACCACCCAGCTGGCGCGCTGGTAGTCTCCCGCCGCCCTGATCGCCTTCCAGACCTGTGTGTGCAAGCCTGTGTTAATCCAGGTGCCGGTCTCCTTGCGCTTGAGAATGTGAAGTCCCCATCGGCGTCGTCCACCGCCACGAAGGGCACGCCAGGGGCCAGGTCGCCTGGCTTGTCGCTGAAAATGCCCCACTGCTCGCACGCGAAGATGCCTATCTTCCTGTCGTACGCCGCCTTCAGCAAGTTCAGCTCGTCCGGGCGCTCGGTTTTGCCGTCGCTACCAGTGTCTGCCATGTAAACGGAGAAGCAATACATCGATGTTCCAGGTGCTACGGCGTTGTCCAAGTACATCGGCTCGCCGACCTTGGGCACAGGCACCGCGCAGGCCGTCGTCTCGCTGGGCGTGCAGTTCTTCATGCACTGGGCCGAGCCAGGCGTGGTCGTCACGAAGCAGGTGAAGCCAGCCACGTCGCAGCACGCTGTATCGAAGCAGTCCCCGGACACGTCGCTGCACTTCTCCCGCGCCGGCTTTGCCAGCACCTGCAGCAACTCGCGCCTGGCCGCGGGGCCGCCCCCTGGCGAGCTGGCGCCGCCACCTGCCGCGAAGCCGCCCGCGGCGCAGGCGGCACAGGCCAGCGCCGCGCAGCCGAGGACCCTGCTGGTGCTCCAGCCAGCGGCTGGCGCGGCCGCGTCGCTGTCGCTGCTGAGCTCCATGTCTTCGCTGCGGCGGTGCGGCGCCATGCGGGCGAGATGAGGTGTGAGCTCTGGTCTGCAGCGGGAGCAAGCAGGCGTGCGACGAGGAGACGCGATCACTGGAGCGCCACAGAGTGGTTGAGGCGAAAAAGCTTGAGCCCAAATGGCTACGGACGATGAAAAGATGACGATGATGATGATGATGATGACGATGATGATGATGATGATGATGATGATGATGATGATGATGATGATGATGATGATGATGATGATGATGATCATCATCGGCATGACAACTCCTGGGTTCAGAGCCTCCAGCTTGGCAGTCGGCATCGATAGGTCACCGCAGGAGAAGTCATCTCCCCCCTGGCGACATCCCAGAGGTCATCATGTGTATGTTAATTGCGCGCCGCGGGTCCACCACAAGCGCACCTCGGAGGATACGGGCCTCGCATCGACCGAGCACTCAGCCACGAGGACGTTGACTCGTGGCAGGTAAAAAACGTGCTGATGGCTGAACTGTGCACGAATATCGGGCAACAGCTCTTGCGCTGCCACTTCTTCGAAGTAATTCGCAGAGCGCGTCTCCCAAGAACTCAGTACCCGAATGCCTCCACCGTCTTCTCGAAGCACTTCACGTAATCACCCACCTTCATCATGGGATGATATGCTGCGGTCTTCCTCTCCGTGCAGTCAGGCCTCCATTTCTTGTTCTTTTTCTGGTCCTCTGGGCGATCCGCCTCGCAGGCCGCATCCAGAGTAGTGTCGAACGCCCCGCCGCGGCGCACACCCATGGCGTCCAAGCAGCTCTGAGCGAAAAGGTCCTCCCCCATCGGCCCGTACTTGCCGCCCTCCACTCCCGTCTTCCAATCCAGGACCTGCTTGCACCATTCGATGTTCGGGAACAGCGTCTGGGCGGCAGTCAGCGACATGATCTCCAAGTTCCCGAACCAACCCCACTTACAGTATTTGCAGTTCTCGAGGTAGATGCCAGGCACACCGCTCCCAGGCTCGCCCTGGGAGGCAAGGAAGGGCCTCAAGCGGCTCGGCAAGAACACCGCATCGCAATCTACCTTGACCACCCAGCTGGCGCGCTGGTAGTCTCCCGCCGCCCTGATCGCCTTCCAGACCTGTGTGTGCAATCCTGTGTTAATCCAGGTGCCGGTCTCCTTGCGCTTGAGAATGTGGAAGTCACCATCGGCGTCGTCCACCGCCACGAAGGGCACGCCAGGGGCCAGGTCGCCTGGCTTGTCGCTGAAAATGCCCCACTGCTCGCACGCGAAGATGCCTATCTTCCTGTCGTACGCCGCCTTCAGCAAGTTCAGCTCGTCCGGGCGCTCGGTTTTGCCGTCGCTACCAGTGTCTGCCATGTAAACGGAGAAGCAATACATCGATGTTCCAGGTGCTACGGCGTTGTCCAGGTACATCGGCTCGCCGACCTTGGGCACAGGCACCGCGCAGGCCGTCGTCTCGCTGGGCGTGCAGTTCTTCATGCACTGGGCCGAGCCAGGCGTGGTCGTCACGAAGCAGGTGAAGCCAGCCACGTCGCAGCACGCTGTATCGAAGCAGTCCCCGGACACGTCGCTGCACTTCTCCCGCGCCGGCTTTGCCAGCACCTGCAGCAACTCGCGCCTGGCCGCGGGGCCGCCCCCTGGCGAGCTGGCGCCGCCACCTGCCGCGAAGCCGCCCGCGGCGCAGGCGGCACAGGCCAGCGCCGCGCAGCCGAGGACCCTGCTGGTGCTCCAGCCAGCGGCTGGCGCGGCCGCGTCACTGTCGCTGCTGAGCTCCATGTCTTCGCTGCGGCGGTGCGGCGCCATGCGGGCGAGATGAGGTGTGAGCTCTGGTCTGCAGCGGAAGCAAGCAGGCGTGCGCCGAGGAGACGCGATCACTGGAGCGCCACAGAGTGGTTGAGGCGAAAAAGCTTGAGCCCAAATGGCTACGGACGATGAAAAGATGACGATGATGATGATGATGATGATGATGATGATGATGATGATGATGATGATGATGATGATGATGATGATCATCGGCATGACAACTCCTGGGTTCAGAGCCTGCAGCTTGGCAGTCGGCATCGATAGGTCACCGCAGGAGAAGTCATCTCCCCACCGGCGACATCCCAGAGGTCATCATGTGTATGTTAATTGCGCGCCGCGGGTCCACCACAAGCGCACCTCGGAGGATACGGGCCTCGCATCGACCGAGCACTCAGCCACGAGGACGTTGACTCGTGGCAGCTAAAAAACGTGCTGATGGCTGAACTGTGCACGAATATCGGGCAACAGCTCTTGCGCTGCCACTTCTTCGAAGTAATTCGCAGAGCGCGTCTCCCAAGAACTCAGTACCCGAATGCCTCCACCGTCTTCTCGAAACACTTCACGTAATCACCCACCTTCATCATGGGATGATATGCTGCGGTCTTCCTCTCCGTGCAGTCAGGCCTCCATTTCTTGTTCTTTTTCTGGTCCTCTGGGCGATCCGCCTCGCAGGCCGCATCCAGAGTAGTGTCGAACGCCCCGCCGCGGCGCACACCCATGGCGTCCAAGCAGCTCTGAGCGAAAAGGTCCTCCCCCATCGGCCCGTACTTGCCGCCCTCCACCCCCGTCTTCCAATCCAGGACCTGCTTGCACCATTCGATGTTCGGGAACAGCGTCTGGGCGGCAGTCAGCGACATGATCTCCAAGTTCCCGAACCAACCCCACTTACAGTATTTGCAGTTCTCGAGGTAGATGCCAGGCATCTACCTGACCACCCAGCTGGCGCGCTGGTAGTCTCCCGCCGCCCTGATCGCCTTCCAGACCTGTGTGTGCAAGCCTGTGTTAATCCAGGTGCCGGTCTCCTTGCGCTTGAGAATGTGGAAGTCCCCATCGGCGTCGTCCACCGCCACGAAGGGCACGCCAGGGGCCAGGTCGCCTGGCTTGTCGCTGAAAATGCCCCACTGCTCGCACGCGAAGATGCCTATCTTCCTGTCGTACGCCGCCTTCAGCAAATTCAGCTCGTCCGGGCGCTCGGTTTTGCCGTCGCTACCAGTGTCTGCCATGTAAACGGAGAAGCAATACATCGATGTTCCAGGTGCTACGGCGTTGTCCAGGTACATCGGCTCGCCGACCTTGGGCACAGGCACCGCGCAGGCCGTCGTCTCGCTGGGCGTGCAGTTCTTCATGCACTGGGCCGAGCCAGGCGTAGTCGTCACGAAGCAGGTGAAGCCAGCCACGTCGCAGCACGCTGTATCGAAGCAGTCCCCGGACACGTCGCTGCACTTCTCCCGCGCGGCTTTGCCAGCACCTGCAGCAACTCGCGCCTGGCCGCGAGGCCGCCCCCTGGCGAGCTGGCGCCGCCACCTGCCGCGAAGCCGCCCGCGGCGCAGGCGGCACAGGCCAGCGCCGCGCAGCCGAGGACCCTGCCGGTGCTCCAGCCAGCGGCCGGCGCGGCCGCGTCGCTGTCGCTGCTGAGCTCCATGTCTTCGCTGCGGCGGTGCGGCGCCATGCGGGCGAGATGAGGTGTGAGCTCTGGTCTGCAGCGGAAGCAAGCAGGCGTGCGCCGAGGAGACGCGATCACTGGAGCGCCACAGAGTGGTTGAGGCGAAAAAGCTTGAGCCCAAATGGCTACGGATGATGATAAGATGACGATGATGATAATGATAATGATAATGATGATGATGATGATGATGATGATGATGATGATGATGATGATGTTGATGTTGATGTTGATGCTGATGCTGATGCTGATGCTGATGCTGATGCTGATGCTGATGCTGATGCTGACGATGCTTATGGTGCTGGTGATGATGACGACAATGATGACGGTGATGGTGATGATGGTGATGATGATGCTGATGATGACGATGCTGATGATGCTGATGATGATGACGGTGATGGTGATGATTATGATGATGATACTGATGGTGGTGATGATGATGATGATGATGATTATGATGATGATGATGATGATGATGATGATGATGATGATGATGATGTTGATGCTGCTGATGATGATGATGATGATGATAGGCATGACAACTCCTGGGTTCAGAGCCTCCAGCTTGGCAGTCGGCATCGATAGGTCACCGCAGGAGAAGTCATCTCCCCTCTGGCGACATCCCAGAGGTCATCATGTGTATGTTAATTGCGCGCCGCGGGTCCACCACAAGCGCACCTCGGAGGATACGGGCCTCGCATCGACCGAGCACCCAGCCACGAGGACGTTGACTCGTGGCAGCTAAAAAACGTGCTGATGGCTAAACTGTGCACGAATATCGGGCAACAGCTCTTGCGCTGCCACTTCTTCGAAGTAATTCGCAGAGCGCATCTCCCAAGAACTCAGTACCCGAATGCCTCCACCGTCTTCTCGAAGCACTTCACGTAATCACCCACCTTCATCATGGGATGATATGCTGCGGTCTTCCTCTCCGTGCAGTCAGGCCTCCATTTCTTGTTCTTTTTCTGGTCCTCTGGGCGATCCGCCTCGCAGGCCGCATCCAGAGTAGTGTCGAACGCCCCGCCGCGGCGCACACCCATGGCGTCCAAGCAGCTCTGAGCGAAAAGGTCCTCCCCCATCGGCCCGTACTTGCCGCCCTCCACTCCCGTCTTCCAATCCAGGACCTGCTTGCACCATTCGATGTTCGGGAACAGCGTCTGGGCGGCAGTCAGCGACATGATCTCCAAGTTCCCGAACCAACCCCACTTACAGTATTTGCAGTTCTCGAGGTAGATGCCAGGCACACCGCTCCCAGGCTCGCCCTGGGAGGCAAGGAAGGGCCTCAAGCGGCTCGGCAAAAACACCGCATCGCAATCTACCTTGACCACCCAGCTGGCGCGCTGGTAGTCACCCGCCGCCCTGATCGCCTTCCAGACCTGTGTGTGCAAGCCTGTGTTAATCCAGGTGCCGGTCTCCTTGCGCTTGAGAATGTGGAAGTCCCCATCGGCGTCGTCCACCGCTACGAAGGGCACGCCAGGGGCCAGGTCGCCTGGCTTGTCGCTGAAAATGCCCCACTGCTCGCACGCGAAGATGCCTATCTTCCTGTCGTACGCCGCCTTCAGCAAGTTCAGCTCGTCCGGGCGCTCGGTTTTGCCGTCGCTACCAGTGTCTGCCATGTACACGGAGAAGCAATACATCGATGTTCCAGGTGCTACGGCGTTGTCCAAGTACATCGGCTCGCCGACCTTGGGCACAGGCACCGCGCAGGCCGTCGTCTCGCTGGCGTGCAGTCGCGTGAATGGGCCGAGCAGGCGTGGTCGTCACGAGCAGGTGAAAGCCCAGCCACGTCGCAGCACGCTGTATCGAGCACAGTCCCGGACACGTCGCTGCTGCACTTCTCCCGCGCAGGCTTTCGCCAGCACCTGCAGCAATCGCGCCTGGCCGCGGCGGGGCCTGGCCTATGGCGAGGCTGGCGCCGCCAACTGCCGCGAAGCCGCCCGCGGCGCAAGCGGCTCAGGCCAGCGCCGCGCAGCCGAGGACCCTGCCGGTGCTCCAGCCAGCGGCCGGCGCGGCCGCGTCGCTGTCGCTGCTGAGCTCCATGTCTTCGCTGCGGCGGTGCGGCGCCATCTCGGCGAGACGCGAGATGAGGTGTGAGCTCTGGTCTGCAGCGGAAGCAAGCAGGGCGTGCGCCGAGGAGGACGCGATCCCTGGAGCGCCACAGAGTGGTTGAGGCGAAAAAGCTGAGCCCAAATGGCTACGGACGATGAAAAGATGAAGCTGATGATGATGATGATGATGATGATGATGATGATGATGATGTATGATGATGATTGGAGGATATGATCATCGGCCTGAAAACTCCCGGGTTCCGAGCCTCCAGCTTGGCAGGCGGCATCGATAGGTCACCGCAGGAGAAGTCATCTCCCCCTGGCGACATCCTAGAGGTCATCATTCGTATGTTAATTGCGCGCCGCCGGTCCACCACAAGCGCACCTCGGAGGATACGGGCCTCGCATCGACCGAGCATTCAACCACGAGGACGTTGACTCGTGGCAGCTAAAAAAGTGCTGATGGCAAAACTGTGCACGAATATCGGGCAACAGCTCTTGCACTGCCTCTTCTTCGAAGTAATTCGCAGAGCGCGTCTCCCAAGAACTCAGTACCCGAATGCCTCCACCGTCTTCTCGAAACACTTCACGTAATCACCCACCTTCATCATGGGATGATATGCTGCGGTCTTCCTTTCCGTGCAGTCAGGCCTCCATTTCTTGTTTTTCTTCTGGTCCTCTGGGCGATCCGCCTCGCAGGCCGCGTCCAGAGTAGTGTCGAACGCCCCGCCGCGGCGCACACCCATGGCGTCCAAGCAGCTCTGAGCGAAAAGGTCCTCCCCCATCGGCCCGTACTTGCCGCCCTCCACTCCCGTCTTCCAATCCAGGACCTGCTTGCACCATTCGATGTTCGGGAACAGCGTCTGGGCGGCAGTCAGCGACATGATCTCCAAGTTCCCGAACCAACCCCACTTACAGTATTTGCAGTTCTCGAGGTAGATGCCAGGCACACCGCTCCCAGGCTCGCCCTGGGAGGCAAGGAAGGGCCTCAAGCGGCTCGGCAAGAACACCGCATCGCAATCTACCTTGACCACCCAGCTGGCGCGCTGGTAGTCTCCCGCCGCCCTGATCGCCTTCCAGACCTGTGTGTGCAAGCCTGTGTTAATCCAGGTGCCGGTCTCCTTGCGCTTGAGGATGTGGAAGTCCCCATCGGCGTCGTCCACCGCCACGAAGGGCACGCCAGGGGCCAGGTCGCCTGGCTTGTCGCTGAAAATGCCCCACTGCTCGCACGCGAAGATGCCTATCTTCCTGTCGTACGCCGCCTTCAGCAAATTCAGCTCGTCCGGGCGCTCGGTTTTGCCGTCGCTACCAGTGTCTGCCATGTAAACGGAGAAGCAATACATCGATGTTCCAGGTGCTACGGCGTTGTCCAGGTACATCGGCTCGCCGACCTTGGGCACAGGCACCGCGCAGGCCGTCGTCTCGCTGGGCGTGCAG